GGGTCGCCGCCCCGCCCGCCGCTCCGCGAGCCGCTTTGTCTCGGGCGGGGCGCGCGGGAGAGGCCGCCAGGTGCCCCCCGCCGCGGGCCCGGGCCCCCCGCCCCGGGGCGGCGGCGGTGGCGCCGGGCCCCGGGGCGGGGGGCGCGCCGGGATGGGCCCGAAGCGGCGGCAGCTGACGTTCCGGGAGAAGTCGCGGATCATCCAGGAGGTGGAGGAGAACCCGGACCTGCGCAAGGGCGAGATCGCGCGGCGCTTCAACATCCCGCCGTCCACGCTGAGCACCATCCTGAAGAACAAGCGCGCCATCCTGGCGTCGGAGCGCAAGTACGGTGTGGCCTCCACCTGCCGCAAAACCAACAAGCTGTCCCCCTATGACAAGCTCGAGGGCTTGCTCATCGCCTGGTTCCAGCAGATCCGCGCCGCTGGCCTACCCGTCAAGGGCATCATCCTCAAGGAGAAGGCGCTGCGTATAGCCGAGGAGCTGGGCATGGACGACTTCACCGCCTCCAACGGTTGGCTGGACCGCTTCCGCCGGCGCCACGGTGTGGTGTCCTGCAGCGGTGTGGCCCGCGCCCGGTCGCGCAGTGCCGCCCCCCGGCCCCCAGCGGCTCCCGCCAGCCCGCCTGCGGTGCCCTCGGAGGGCAGCGGCGGGGGTTCGACGGGCTGGCGCGCTCGGGAGGAGCAGCCGCCGTCGGTGGCCGAGGGCTACGCCTCCCAGGACGTGTTCAGCGCCATCGAGACGAGTCTGTGGTACGACTTCCTCCCCGACCAGGCTGCGGGGCTATGCGGCAGCGATGGACGGGCGCGCAGGGCCACCCAGCGCCTCAGTGTCCTGCTGTGCGCCAACGCAGACGGCAGCGAGAAGCTGCCCCCACTCGTGGCCGGCAAGTCGGCCAAGCCCCGTGCAGGCCAAGCCGGCCTGCCCTGCGACTACACCGCCAACTCCAAGGGTGGTGTCACCACCCAGGCCCTGGCCAAGTACCTGAAGGCCCTGGACACTCGCATGGCCGCAGAATCTCGCCGAGTCCTGCTGCTGGCAGGCCGCCTGGCTGCCCAGTCCCTGGATACCTCGGGCCTGCGACACGTACAGCTGGCCTTTTTCCCTCCGGGCACGGTGCAGCCGCTGGAGCGGGGAGTGGTCCAACAGGTGAAGGGCCACTACCGCCAGGCTATGCTACTCAAGGCCATGGCGGCGCTGGAGGGCCAGGATCGCTCAGGCCTGCAGCTAGGTTTGATGGAGGCCCTGCACTTTGTGGCTGCCGCCTGGCAGGCAGTGGAGCCCTCGGACATAGCTGCCTGCTTTCGGGAGGCTGGCTTCGGGGGTGGCCCAAATGCCACCATCACCACTGCCCTCAAGAGTGAGGGGGAGGAAGAGGAGGAGGAGGAAGAGGAGGAAGAAGAAGAGGAGGAAGAGGAGGAGGAGGGTGAAGGGGAGGAGGAGGAAGAGGAAGAAGAAGGCGAGGAGGAGGAAGGGGGGGAAGGAGAGGAGTTGGGGGAGGAAGAGGAGGTGGAAGAGGAGGGTGATGTGGATGACAGTGATGAGGAGGAGGAGGAGGAGGAGGAAGAGAGCTCCTCTGAGGGGCTGGAGGCTGAGGACTGGGCCCAGGGGGTAGTGGAAGCCGGTGGCAGCTTCGGGGGCTACAGTGCCCAAGAGGAGGCCCAGTGCCCTACCCTCCATTTTTTGGAGGGTGAAGAGGACTCTGAGTCTGACAGTGAGGAAGAGGAGGAAGATGAGGATGATGAGGAGGATGAAGATGATGAAGACGATGAGGAGGATGGTGATGAGGTGCCTGTGCCCAGCTTTGGGGAAGCCATGGCCTACTTTGCTATGGTCAAGAGGTACCTGACTTCCTTCCCCATTGACGACCGAGTGCAGAGCCACATCCTTCACTTGGAACATGATCTGGTCCATGTGACCAGGAAGAACCACGCCAGGCAGGCGGGAGTTCGGGGTCTTGGACATCAAAGCTGAGCCACTGGGCCTAGTCGTGCCCGACCCGGATGTGGCAGCACCAGCCCAGGGCAGAGGACTCTCCGGGCAGCCGCTGTGGATGGAGCCAGAGTGGGGAGCTCCAGATTCTTTAGCGATGTTCCTCGGGCTCTGTGACAGGCCCAGCCACCTCGGTAGGGCCCAGGGCTGGGGTCAGCCTCACTGCCTGCTTATTGCCTCTTTCTCAGAGTCCTCCTTCCTCCCCATTTGCCCCCCCCGGGCTTGGGGGACCAGGTGGGGAGCTGTCCGGTGCTACCACACTGTGCCATCTGTGGACTAGGCCCCAGGAGCGGCCAGGGGTGGGCCCTGGAAGCTCCCGGCCGGAGAGTGCCTCTCCCCTCTGCCGTCCACACCAGGTCTTTGGTGGGGGGGACCCCAAAGCCATTCTGGGAAGGGCTCCAGAGGAAGGTCCAGCCTAGGCCCCCACAAGGCTGGCAGCCCCCTACCCCTGCCCCTGGGCCGCCTTGAGAAGCACAGTCTAACCACAGGCTCCTGAGCCTGCCTCTGCCTGCTTCCCCATCTTCCCAATCCCTTTCTCTGGCCCAGGCCAGGTTACTTTGGCCCTTGGTTTTCTTTCCAGATTGGAGATTCCCAAGAGGCCCTTCAGGGGAGTGATAGTGGGCACTTCCTTGTGGGTAGCTGCAGGCCCCATGCCTCTCCTCCCTCTCTGGCAGGGCCCTATCCTGGTCAGGGGGCCTGGGGCTGGGCCCATAGTCCAGCCATCCAGCTGCTCCTTTCCCAGTCTGAATTCAATAAATCCGTCCACTCCCCTTTTGTGGGGGTGAACGTTTTAACAGCCAAGGGTGCATCCTTCATGGTCTGGGCTTGCGTCTGTCTTGGGAACACGTCCTTTCTTGGTTCCTTTTGGTCCTTTTTCTGGTGGGACATGGAACCAACTGTTGAGAGGGTAGCCACAATTCAAGTCCTGACTGGGGTGAGGGGCCACCTCCATATCTAAATGTTATCTAGGCTTGGGGAGGAAGGGATCTTCAGTGTACCTGTTTGGGTTTGAGGAAAGCTGGGCCTTGCACTGCTTTGGGGTTAGAAGTTGGGGTCAGTTGGCTAGGAGAGGAGGGAGGGAGCCAACTATCCCTGTTGGGCCAAGTTAAACTGGGAACTAGGCCTGTTAAGCCCATTAAAGAAGGTCCTTGCAGGAGTGGGCCCAGAGGACAGTAAAAGGGGTGCTGGGGCAACTTCTGTGGTCCAGGTTAGAGTCTGGAGGGACATACAGAGCATCCCTTGGTCTACCTTTAATGCCTTAAGAGGGAGCCCTTTAGACCTTTCAGGGATTAGCATCTCCAAGCCTGGTGGCCATCCTGGGGACAGTGGCAGGAGGAAGATAAAATTCCTGGGACAGACTGCACCCCCAAGAGGCTGGGGGCATCCCAGTCCAAAGGTGAAGCCTGGTGTCTCTGCTGATCCTACCCCTTTTCTCCTTTCATGGCCCAGCCCCTCCCTCATTGAGGCCCTCAGGCCCCAGTGGTTCCAGCCAGGGGTAGGCCTAGGCCTGAGGAGGCCGCTCAGCTCTGGGCCCCAAACCGGTTTTCCCACCTCCACTGGGGCTGGCACGTTGCTGCTGTGGTTCCCTCCCCACCACTTCCTTTCAGTTCTTCCTCTCTCCACCCTGGAATGTTAAGGGGGGTATATCTAAGTCGTCTTTTGTCCCTTCCCTGCCCTGGGTGTGGTCTCTTCTAGAAAGGCAAGGCTACTATATGACTTTAAATCAAGAAGGTAGAGTGACAATTCCACACTTGGCCTTCCAGACTTCTGGCACTCAGATTTCCCCTGTAGGCCTTGAGGACAATGAAACTAAAGGACTAAGGGACTGCAAAACGTAGTTTGGATTCCCCTTACCATCATTCCCCCACCCCCATCTGAGCTGTGGAGGAGGAAACCAGAAAGTCTTAAAGGAAGCCCAGCCCCCCCCCCCCCCCGCCTACTCCAGAGTAAGGGGGGCAGGAGCAGTAGTCTTCTCCCTGTTCAACATGGCCCCTCCCTCAAACAGTAGTGATAGCACCAACTGATGTTAATAGGGCCCTTGCTGTGTGCCAGGTGCTGTGCTAAGCACTTCCAATGCTCACGAATCCCTATGAGGTAGGTAAAACCATGTGAAAACAGGCACAGAAAGGTCCAGTAATGTGCCCAAAGCTACACTGCTAGTCTTTGGTGGAAGCAAACTTTCTTCTCTGGCTGATCCTAGAAGTGCCTCTTTTCTTGCTACTCTGTGTCCCTTCACTAAGGAAGGACCCATATCCCTAACCCTACTACAAACAGTGTTCTTTTGAAATGGAACTGGCTACTGAAATCCATTTCTAACCCACGGAAGATAGCTCTCGGAAGGAGGTGAGGGGCTGTGGAAGTGTCTAGTGGAGCTCTTGCAGCTTTTACTCCCATACCCCCAGTCCGCATACAAATGCAGATCTTCCATAAATACCCTTCCCATTTTCCTCCCTATTACCCTGTTGGGACAAATAGGCGAGAACCATTCCCACTTCACAAAAGGAGAAATAAGATTAAGGAGTTAAATAACCTGCCCAAGGCACTGGCCCTGAACCCTAGTATTCTCCCTGGGAATCTGGGGGACATATTAAATGCCCTACCAGGACACTACTGGGAAGGGCACTAGTGTTGATGGCCCTAATAGCACAGAGCTCTGAGGAGGGACCCAGCCAGGAGACAGTCACACAGCCTGTCACACAATCCAGCTGGGAAGCAGCAGATGATTAGCAGTGGACGCCCAGATGAAGCTGACAAACATTGGGATGCTGCCTTCACTTGGGATTGATCACCAAAGGATGGGGAAGGGGAATCTCAGCCCTGGGGAGGCTGGTGCAGGGATACTGAGGGCCTGGTTGGCACTGACAGGTTTCAGAGTGGGCCATTTTGGCTGATCAGGTGGCGCTTGGCGCAGATACTGGGAAGACAAGGCCACTTAATCGCCTTTTCAAAGCTGGGGCCTGAGAGTAAGTAGAGGGAGAAAACTACAACTCCCAGAATCCCCTGCTCCCCGCCCAGCCTGGGATAGTTGCTATGGTTTCAGAAAACAATATGGCTGCTCCCAGCAGGGAGAAGAGTCTTCGGATTAGAGAGGCAGAGGCAGGTCTGGTCGCAGTCAGTGGCGAGAGAAGAGGCACCTGAGGGATCGTGAAGTTGGGGCTGGACTCTGCACGGCTGGAACGGCCTGGCCTTGCCTTGCCGGGGGTGCCAATGGCGGGCAGCGTGGACGAGGAGGCGCTGCACCAGCTGTACCTGTGGGTAGACAACATCCCTCTGTCCCGGCCCAAGCGAAATCTCTCCAGGGACTTCAGTGACGGAGGTGTGCACCTCAGTATGTGTGCGCTCCTGTGTGTATGTCCCGTGTGCCCGTGTTTGTTGACACGTTCTGTCCTGTATGTACATGTGTAAGGGGTATGTATGCATATGTCTCTTTGTGCTTCGGTGCGTGTGGGTATGTGTGTTGGGGGGTGTCTGACTACCTCTTAGAACTTTAATTGTGTATATGTGTGTGTGTTTCTGTGGGAATATGAATATGTGTGTATCCATATGTATGTCCCCTTGTTCTGTCCTTTATGCATGCGTGGCGGTGATGATGGTGTGTGTCTAACTGTGTGAGTCTGTGACTCCCTCCTGACACCTTAATAAATAAGACATGTATTTGTGTATGTTTTTGTGCTTCTTTGTGTGTGTACTTGTTCTTTGCTGTATTCCATATATCTGTCTTGTGGGAGTCTGTGCATGTGTATATTCATATGTTTGTTGATGGGTTCTGTCCTGTATGCAGGTAGGGGGTCTTGTGTGCATATGTATTTCTTTGTGATTATTAGGTGTCTGTGTGTCTAAGGGTGTCTCTTGAGATTTTAATGACAGAAGTATGCGTCTCTGGTACATTAGTGCATTGGTGCCTATGTGACTTACCGTGCTTGTGTGTGTGTGCTTGTGTGTGACTCTCTTGAACTTCAATGATGGAAATATGTATCTATGTATGTGTTTGTGCATCTCTGTGTGTTGTATATGTGTGTGCTATACGTGGGCCTGTGTATGTATGAGCATGTGTGTGTCCTGTGTGTCTACACACTTTGTCCTATGTGCATATCTGTAGGGGGATCTTACCACATGTGTCTGCTTATGTGAATCTGTGACTCTTTCCTGGATTTTGGTGTTGGGAGTGTGTGTGTGTGTGTTTCCATGTAAATGACTAGGATGGGACCCCAGGCTCCTGACAGGCTCTCTTGGAGACTCATTCTCTACTAGAGGACCAGAGACCCTAGTTTTCATATGCCTGAGCTGAGGGGAATGGGATGCCTCTCCTCTGGGGTATGCTGGAGGATGATTACTGATTTCTGGTCTTGATTTCTTGAACCCCTTTCCCTCTCTTCCACCACCCCTGCTTCCCTATCATCCTTTCCCTTTCCACATCACCTCTTTGCTTGGCCCCACCACTCTGCAATCCGTGATTCTCCCATCCCATCCACATCTTCTCCCTACTCCTTTTCCCTTACCTCCTTACTCCCTTCCATGTCTGCTCCCATTCCCTCAGTCCTGGTCGCAGAAGTCATCAAGTTTTACTTCCCCAAGATGGTGGAGATGCACAATTATGTCCCTGCCAACTCTCTCCAACAGAAGCTCAGCAACTGGGGTCACCTAAACAGGTAGCAGAATGCCTGGTGCGCTACTCGAATCTCCATCCCCTACCCAGACCCCGGGATCCCAGGAAGGGCTGCCCTACCATGCCCCCCCCCCCACCCCCGACACACACCTCCCATGGTCTCCAAAGCCCAGGCTGGGATTCTGTTTGTGGCAGAGTAGGGAGGGACAACACAGTCAGGATCTGGTAACAAAATCAAGGGACTCCTTTATTGGGGAGGAGACAAGGAAAGAGGACACCAAGAATCAGGTTCATTCTCCCAGGGCTGCAACACTTCCTTCTACTCCATGCCCCTCAGTTCATTCCCTGGGGACCCAGTCCGCCATCCCTGTGCCTGTCTCCCAGGAAGGTGCTGAACAAACTGAACTTCTCCGTACCAGAGGATGTGATGCGCAAAATCGCGCAATGCGCGCCGGGCGTGGTGGAGTTAGTGCTCATTCCGCTGAGGCAGCGCCTGGAGGAGCGGCAGAGGCTCAGGAAGCAGCGCATGAGCTCCTTACAGGTGCCGCCCCACCCGAGCCTCTTCCAGGCAGCAGGAAGCCCCGCCTTGCCGACAGATGTGGGAGAGGGTGTTTGGCAAACAGAGGCTGGCCTTGGGGACCACGGAAGAGACATGGGGCTCCTTGCGGATGAGCGAGCCTGAACTCACAATATACCCCCGGGGTGGGGGGTATTATTTCAGGAGCTGGCTCCCCAGGATGGCACTGGCTACATGGATGTGGGTAAAGTGGTCTTTACTTTTCTTCCCTCCCAGGAGCAGCTTTCCTTCTGTCCTACCTGTGGGGGAGGGGAGGGAGAGAGAAATCAGGAAAAAGGAACTCCAGCTCGACCAACTCCTCCACTTGCCTCTTCTCAGGTTTGTCCCAGAAGGCCCGAGGGGAAGGTGCCCTAGACCCCCAGGAAGGGGGGCAGGTCAGGTAAGAAAGCCGAGTTCCTATCTCACCAGGTCTGGTGATCCCCCAACACAGTGCTTCCTGGGAAGCAGGAACGGGGTTGCGGGGAGGGGATGAGGGAAGGAGAGTCTGGCCGAAGAGCATCAGAAGGGTAAGAGTGGGGCCCCAGCTCCAGGCCTCCGCTAAGCTGCTTCCCACCCCAGGGGGGGCCGGCTGCCCGTGCCCGGGCCTCCGGGATATGGCCAGGCAGTGCAGGGCGGCGACCCAAGCTTCGTCCTCCAGATCGCTGAAAAAGAGCAGGAGTTGTTGGCTTCTCAGGAGACCGTGCAGGTGAGGGTGACTGGGAAGGCGTGGGCGGTGGTGGGGCAATGGGTGCTTAGGGATCGCAGTGGTGGGGACAGAGGGCAGCAGGCAGCTGACTTCATCTCTGTGCCTCGTGGCCCAGGTTCTGCAGATGAAGGTGAGGCGTTTGGAGCACTTGCTTCAGCTCAAGAACGTGCGCATTGACGACCTCTCCCGGCGGCTCCAGCAGGCAGAGCGTAAGCAGCGGTGAGCCGTGGCCCGGGCCACGCTGTGACACCCCAGTACCCGCCAGACCCCAGACGCCGCGAACCGACGCACCCACCCACGCACCCACCGACCTACTGACTGACCAATGGGCGGGCGGAGCCAGCATCTCCAATGAGTCTCCTCCGGAGCCGGCGCGCCCCTCCCTTGGGATGGGGGCGAGTATGGGAGGGAGGATCAGTGGGGCAGGCGCCTTCAGAGCAGAGCCCCTGGACTGAGCCACCTCCTTCCACTCCACCCGGGTCAGGAGAATGGACCGCTTTCCAGAACCCAGAAGCCACGTGCAGAGACCTCGCATGCTCCCCAAAGCAGTGCCCAGCACCAGGGGCTCCGCTTTGGTGCTCCCTGCTGTGGGCCTTGGGGGGTGGTGCCCCGGCTCGGTCCACACCCTTAGAAACAGGTCCCAGCCCAGCTCTGAAGACAGCGGCATCTCCATCCAGGCTAGCTGTCTGTGCTCTGGGCTGGGGAGGAAGTTGCCCCAGGCAGCCAAGGGAGATCCTTGCCTCTCCTGGAAGCTCACCTGGGACCCAAGTCGAGGATGGAGAACACAGCAGCTGGAGAAGAAGGGGTGAGGAGTGGGGTTCAGCCAGGAGTGGGGAAGACATGGACTATGTCTGTCCCAATCACCCTCTCCTCCTGTGGGGGGACCTTTGAGAATGCTTGGAAGTTATGGGATCACATTACCCCCATTAAAGAAGTTGTGCTATCTTTCCTGCGACCACCTTCTCTCTCTGCCCAGATTTCTTGCCCCTCTTAATGCTGTGTCCCACCATCACCACCACCCTTTTGAGTGAAAGAGCCTTGTAAGCCCAGAATGGGTCTCACCTTGTGGGCACCTGGACCCTGGGTGGCCACTGCCTGGAAGGTTGATGACAGCACAGGGGTCAGATCTTGTGCACTTGAACAGCCTGACTTCTAACTCTGGCTTTAGACTGACTGCCAAACCCACCCTCACAGTATCTTCCAACACTGTCCAAACCCAAATCCAAGCCGAGTCTTCACATTCTCCCCAAATGTAACCACATCCTCACCTCCAACCCTGCCCATTTACGGACCCCCAAATCTATCCTCCGTATGACTCCCAGCCCCTCTCACAGACTGACCCCTAGTTCTATGGTTCTATGGTTCTATGACTCTCAAACCTGACCAAGATGGTCTGGCCATCTAACTCTAATAACCAACTACTGGTAACATTCTGAGACCCCACGATTCTATTCCTACACATATACTCAGCATATACCTAGGGGAAACTTAAGGTCTTGTGTTCTGTATTCTGTGACAGCTGTACAGCAATGTTCATAGTGACATTCTCTGTAATAGAAAATAATTGAAAAGAACTTGTATGAGTGTCTATCATATGTAAGAAATTACCACAAACTTAGTGGCTTGAATTATTTATATATTATTGGCTTGAATTAATTATGTATTTTCTCATATCTTCTGTGGGTCAAGAGTCTAGGTGTGGCCGAGCTGGGTTCTCTGCTTCAGAGTTTCTCCTAAGACTGCAGTCAAAGTGTTAGCTAGAGCTGTGGTTTCATCTGAAGTCTTGACTGGGGAAGGATTCATTTCCAAGTTTACTTGGTTGTTGACAGGGTTCGGTTCCTTGTAAGCTGTTGGGCTGAAGGTTTCACTTTCTTGCTGGTTGTTGGGTGGTGCTGCCCTCCTTTCCTTCCCCTATGGTCATGTCCAGTGAGTATGCTAGCTTACTTCACCAAAGCCAGCAAAGGAGAGAGTTAACAGAGTCTGCTAGCAAGATGGCAGTTACAGTCTTCTCTAATGTCATCATGGAAGTGACAGCTATCACACTTGTTGTATCCTATTTATTAGAAGTAAGTCATGAGCTCCAGACCACCTTCAAGGGGAGAGGTACACATGGGTGTGAATCCCAGAAGACAGGGATAATTGGGAGCCATTTTAGAAGCTGTCTACCACAAGGAGGAAAAAGCAATAAAAAGATAATAGTTAGGACAGCAGTTACCATTGAGAAGAAGCAGAGGGCAGAGAGGCAAGAAGCATGCACATGAGTTATTTGTAATGTTTTAGTCCTTGGGCAGGTGGTGGATTTATAGGTGTTCATAGTGGGCTGTTTAGAGACAAGCAGGAGAGAGTGTCATGAACTAAGGAGTATGTGCAGTCCAATTCTGTTCACCTGAGTTCCTAAAATAATAAACATAAAAGTTGAGAATGACTCCTGACCTTGATCTGAGCCTTTTCCCTGCACTCAGCTTGGTCTTAGGTTAACACTGTCTTCAGCCTGATCTTCTACCTTCCCCCAAATTAACCACCAGCCCTCACACATGTTGACCCCAGCTCTAGCACTATTATTCTGCTATAGTTTGTCTTGAGTCTCCAGAGTTTTGTTCTCTGAATCCATTGTCATGGAGCACACCTGTAAACTCCTGTGTCTGGAGCTGGTAGGAATGGTGTATAGAGGGGCTTGGGGACCAGGAAGTGGGGTAGGGCATGGATCTGCCTGACAGGGACACAGTGGGCCCAGAATACAGGTTTTGTGGCAGGGGTCCCCTCTCAAGAGTCTGCTAGCTCCCTCCATGGCAGAGGCTGGGCCAAGTCCTGGAGGTTCCTCTTCCTTGAGTTCCTCCCCTGACCCCAGCTATTCCTAGTATCTAGATATGCCTGAATCTAAAATCATATTTGACATCCTACAAATTAAGTTCCCAAAACAATGGAGAATTTTATTGAATATTTCTTGGGAATAAATATGACAGTGGGTTACATCACACATTATAATCCTATAACTCTTCTTGAAACATCCCTCTTGTTCTCCAAACTTCCCCTCTGATAGCCATTGTCATATTTCTCCCCCTCTGATCCTCACACTCCTCTTCACTTTCTGACCCACATGAAATCTGATTTCTTCTGGATCATTCATTAATTCATTCATTCCTCTAATGTTTATTTAGTGCCTACTATGTACTAAATGCCAGGAACACAAAGATGAATATAAAACATGATTTGTCTCCCCCAGTGTTCACAATCTTAGAAGAGGAGAATGCATGCAAAGTGGTACTTAACAATTTTTTGTTACTCAATGTTTTAAACAGATAAAATACACATAATTAAAACACACATAAAAAGTAAAATGTCTCCTTGATGCCCACACAACTTCAACAGGCTTAATTTTTTATCTTTAGTTTTTGTACATTCTGCCAGAATGTCTTTTTGTGAATACAAACAAATATGCACATTTATTGTTATTCTGCATCCTCCTTTTTTTTTTTCTTACCATAAAGGGGAAGCATATTACCCACACTGTTCTGTGTCTCGATTTCCATTCAATATGATCTCTTATAGATATGTGATAGCCAATGTTATATGCCAACTTAACTGGGCCACAGGATGCCCATAATTTAGTCAAACATTCTGTGAGGGTGTTTTCAGATGAGATTGACGTTTAAATTTAAAAGTAGACTGAGTAAAGCAGATTGCTCGTCTTCATGTGGGTGGGCCTCATTCAATCAGTTGAAGACCTGAAAAGAATAAAAAGGATGTCTCTTCCCTGAGTAAGAGAAAATTTCTTCTTCTTGATGGCCTTTGAACTAGGGTTTGTCTTTTTCCCCTGCCTCTAGACTCTAACTCAGATATCAATTCTTCCTGTGTCCTGAGCCTGCCAGCCTTTGGATTTGACTCTCCTAGTTTCCAGTTTGCTGACTCATTCTGTAGATCTTGCAACTTGGCAGCCTCACTCATCACATGAGCTAATTACTTCTTATAAATCTCTATCTGTATCATCTATACCATCTGTCTCTATATCATCTCCCCTTAGTTTCTCCAGAGAATCTCAACTAATGCAAAATTTTTCTATATCAATACATTGAAAATTTCCTGTTTTTAAATCCATATAAAATTCTATTGTCTGTACAAAATGTAATTAATCAGTCCTCTATTTGGACATTTAAGTTGTTTCTAACCTTCTGTTATTAGTAGCAATAATGTAAAAGTGAAAAACCTCATACATTCATAGTTCAGTATTCTTTACAAGCATATCTGCATGACCAATGCCAGAACTGGGTTTGTTAGGATGAAGAATATGTGCATTTGTGATCTTGATATTGCAAAATTTCCTCTACAAGGGCATGGTTCAGAGCAGAAGCTGAAGAGTGATGGCCCATTGCCCTACTTTGGTTTGCACAGTGCCATGTTTTTACAAAACTAACTGCTAATTCTTATATTGATGAGGATGTGAGGCAACTGGAACTCTTTTACTCTACTGATGGAGTATGAGTAGAACCATTTCAGGAAACGGTTTGGCAGTTTCATATGAAATTAGACATATGCCTATGCTATTGTATTAGTTTGGGTTTAATTGGAGAAGCAAAAAGCATTTGTTACAGGAATTTGGCTTTGGGTAACTGTTAAACAGTATCTGTAAGACTGTTGTTTTACATATGATGGTGGAGCTTAAAAGTCCCCAAGTCAGGCCACTGGGAAGGAAAGATGGATATAAAGTTGGGGAAAGAAAGGACAAGCTGGAATCCATGAGCATAAGCTGGAACCTTTGATGGCACACCAGAACTCGTGTTGGTTCCCACTACCTCCAAACTTGATGATGTGTGTGTCCTGTAGGAGAGGAGGGTGCCCTCTGTTATCTGGCCCAGGAGTCAAAGAAGCTGAAGAAGGATCTGGGGAAAGGGGGAGTAGGTGCCAGCCTGTTATCCCAGGTCAACGACGTGTGCCAGCAATCAGCAACAAAGTTCATGGGCTGCAAACCTCCTGTCCAGATTTTGCAAGTGTACGGACATAGCCGCTGCTTTTCTTCCACCCTCCAAATCTCCTGTAAAAATGCCTGTTGTGGCCCGCTCTGCTTGGAAAGGAATTCTGGGAAATGTAGTTCACAATAGCTGAGTTGACACATTATACAAGAAAGTGGTATGTTATAGCCCCAGCTATGTTCCATCAATTTCATTCCCCAGTTATATACTCGGGAGAAATACATATGGATGCTTATGAAGACAGGTACTAGAATATACAATACAGTTTATACTATTATGGGCCAGGGCTGCTTTTGCTCAATATCATCTGTGAGAATCATTCAAGTTGTTGCATATATCAGTAGAGGCTGTTCTTCGTCATTGCTATATAATAAGCCATCGTATTGCTTATATATAAGCCACAGTATTTTAAAAAATTCATTCTATTGTTGATGGACACTTGGGTCAGCTTCAGTTTGGGGTTATTACCGATGGTGCCGGCATGAATATTTGTATACCTGTCTTTTGGTATGTAACCAAACCGGTGGATTGCTGGGTCAAAGCATTGGCATTTTCAGCTTTATTAGATACGGCCTGGAAGTTTTCCAACAAGGTTACTGTTGTCCAATTTTTATTAAAAAGAATAGAGTCCATAATACCACGTTTGGAGCTGGAATAGATGTTTTATAGGTGTTCAGTCTGTTCGCCTAAACTGGAGTTGTTCTTAATTCCTTCCCATACCGCCGCAATCTCCAGGGGGCCTATGGCTTCCCTCAAAGCTCTGTTAAGCCCCCCTGCACAGAAAGGCCCAGAAAGGCCTGGACACCACTCTGATGTTTAGCATCTCTTCTTGGTGCACAGACACACTGAACTGCAATGGTGCAGCCACGTACCATCCAATCTAGCTTCCTCCTGGCACAAAGAATCACATTTTCTCTTGGAAGCTTTCCAGAATAATCTACAAT